TTTTTCACTGACCCTCCACCAAGTATGAGCCACCAGGGCTCCTTAAATATTTCATAAGATACTTAAAAGTCACTAGTTTTACAAAAAATGTTTTAAACTGAGAACCTTGTACTTTTGTCTTTTTAAGGAATTCTAAAATTAAAAAAAAGTGATATGTCCAGATTTGTGTTTCATATCTGTACAGAAATTTAATTATATTTCTAAAACTCTTCTAGTTTTATTTGTAGTTATCAAATTCTATACAATTATCTAGAAGTAAAACAAATGGATAAAAATGTATTATTTAAATGTGAAAGACTACAGGAAAAATGAGGTAGCTTCATGGTGTTGCCCAGAGTTTAGGATCTTCTCCAGATCCCTTTAAACCAAGAACTTTCCCCCAATGTAAAGAATATCTATTTCCATTTGGGAGAGGTTCCCAGCAGTAAGTGAACCACGTCCACTAGAATAAGCTTTCCACTTCAGAAGCATTACTGTAACCACTGAAAACTTTATGGTTAGCAGCAAAACATTGTCATATAATGCCATCAAATGAACCCTTCAGGTTGTCACTCAAAATATGGCTGAGGAAGAGTTGCCTTCTCAAAGAGTTGACCATAATGATGTGGATGGAGTATAGCCTTTGGGAGTAAAACCTTCGAGGCCTTCATTTGCTGATGGGACACAACTCAAATTGAGAAGAAACAGCTGCAAACATCATTAAGTGTAACTTGGAATATATAAAATGTGAATCAAGGAAAATTGGAAGTTGTGTTAGTCCTAGAGAAACAAATCCAGGGACACTCATGTGTGTAAGAAAGAGCTTTATATAAAGAGTAATTGTATATTAAGAAAACCTTCCGGCCCAATCTAGATCATAAGCCCGATATTAGCCCATATGTCCCATACCATTCTATAAATTCCTCTTGAAACCCACGCAACACATGCAATGACACTGAATGCAGGAAGATCACAGGCCAGTGGGTGGAAAGTCTTGTGGATCCAGTGGCAGTGGAAGCATCTCAGCACTGGCATGGGTCTTCATATGGCTCCTGCAGCTCCAAGGCTCTGGATTTATCAGCATAGCTCCATGTGGCTTCTTAACAGGATTGTCTTGCAGGAGAGCATGTGACCCACCTCCAAGGAGAAAGACCAGAGTTCCCAGGACCCCCAGGAGAAGGCCATGCCCACAGAGGCCTCATTAGCTATGACCTGATTGACAGGCTAGACTCTGCCCCGTCACTCAAGCTGACAGATTATGCAATTGCCACAGAAGTCATCAAAGATTAAATGGAATGCACAAAGATGGAAATCCTAAGCATTCCTGAGTTGAAAGGGACTGGGATTTGCCATTTTGAATCAGATAGTCATATTTATTGTTTACTAAGCCTGCAATTATAGATTCATTCCTGGCACAGTATCCATAGATGGCATTGAATTCATCTTCAAAATAGACATCTCAAGATTGCTCTTAAAGTTCAATATTGACTCTGATAGGATCATATCTGTCTGCATATAAGGAAATCTAGTCAATACAACTGTTATTCAAATTTAAGCACCAACCACTAAAGCTAAAAAACCCAAACCCAAACTCACTGCCATCTAGTCAATGCTGACTCATAATGATTCTCTAGAGCAGTGTAGAACTGGTCCTGTGGAAAGAACTTCTTGACAGGAGTATAAAGCCCTGTCTTTCTCCCATGGAGTGACTGGTGGTTTTGAACTGCTGACCTTGTGGTTAGCAGCCCAAGTGATATGCGGAAACTGAAGAATTTTACCAATGTCTTTGGTATGAAGTTGATCAAACATGAAAGCAAGATGCATTGATAATTATTGGAGATTGGAATGTAAAAGTTGGAAACAAAGAGGAAGAGCCATTGGAAAAGATGACCTTGGTGAAAAAAACAAACAAACAAACGAAGCTGGAGATCACATGATAGAATTTTGCAAGAACAATGACTTCTTCATCGCAGATATTTTTCTTTCAACAACGCGAATAGCACCAATACATGTAGGTTTCTTGAAATGGAATATACCATCAAATTGATGACATCTGTGGGAAGAGATGCTGGAGAAGCTCAAATGTAAACTCGGGATGAAGCTGAAGGAATTAAAACAAGTCCACAAGAGCCAAAATATGACTGTGATGATATGCCATCTGAATTTTGAGAACATCTCAAGAACAGATTTGTTGCACTGAACACTGACGTCAGAAAACCTGATGAGTTGTGGGATGAGATCAAGAATATCATACACAAAGAAAGCAAAAAATCAATGAAAAAGATAAGGAAGGGGGGGCATCAAAATGGATATGAGACCAGGCTCTGACACTTGCTTTTAATTGTAGAGCAACTAAGGCAAAAAGAAGAGATGATGAAGTAAAAAGCTGAACAGAAATTTGCAAAGGGCAGCTCAAGCAGACAAACTAAAATACTGAAATGAAATGTGTAAAGACCTAGAGTTAGAAAACAAAAAAGGAAGAACAAACTCCGCATATCATAACTGGAAAGAACTAAAAAAAAAAAATTCAAGCCTCAAGTTGAAATATTGAAAGAGTCTATGGGCAAAATATTGAATGCTTGAATGATGCAGGAAGCATCAAAAGAAGATGGAAAGAATACACAGAGTCATGTGCCAAAAAGAAATAGTTAACATTCATCTATCAAGAGGTAACACGGTATCAAGGATCAATGGTGCTGAAGGAAGAAGTTCAAGCTGCACTGAAAGCATTAGCCAAAAACAAGTCTCCAGGAATTAATGGAACACCAAGTGAAATGTTTCAAGAAGCTTATGAGGCACCAGACGTACTTACTTGCCTCTGCCATACATTTTGGAAGACAGCTACCTGGCCATTGATTGTAAGAGATTCATATTTGTACCTGTTCCAAAGAAAGATGACCTAACAGAATGCACAAGTTATAGAACAATATCATTAATAACACATACATGTAATATTTTGCTGAAGATCATCCAATAACAGTTGCAGAAGTTCATTGATAGGGAACTACCCAACCTTCAGACAGGATTCAGAAGAGAACATGGAACAAGGGATATCATTGCTGATATCAGATGGATCTTGTCTAACATCAGAGAATACCAGAAAGATGTTTACTTGTGCTTTATAGACTATGCAAAGCCACTCAACTGTCTGGACCTCACAAACTATGCATAGCCATAAGAAGAATGTTCTCAGGTGGAACTTGTGCACGGATCAAGAGGCAGTTGTGTGAGCAAAACAAGGAATACTGCCTGGTTTAAAGTCAAGAAAGGTGTGTGTCAAAGTTGTACGCTCTCACCATACCTGTTCCATCAGTATGCTAAGCAAATAGCCAATCTGGATTATATGAAGAAGAATGTGGTGTTAGGATTGGAGGAAGACTTTGTATACAATCTGCAACATGCAGATGACACACCTTGCTTGCTGACAGTGGGGAGGACTTGAAAAATTTGCTGGTAAACATTAGGGATCACAGCCTTCAATATAGATTAAAATTGTGGTAAACTGAGGTCTGGATGAGAATATAATGCAGCTAAATCCTCCATGCTCATAAATACGGATCTGGAAAGCTGTCTCTGGTGGAGGAACACTCTCATGGTTATGAGATAGAAATAAATCTTAATATACATTCACATGACTGGATACAGTCCCTCCATAGAGGAACTACCACATAAGATGAATCATTTCTGTGTCTGGCTACCTCAAAATGCCTAAAGGTTATCTGTAGATAAAAACAATCAAGTTATATAACCAACCCACCTAAAAATTTAGCAAGCTCTGTTTTGACATCTCTTGCTAATACTGATTAGAGATTACTCCCCTTGTGGAGCGCTGTGTGTGAGGTCAACTAGCAGTAGGTCAAGATGCTGACTCATCTTATTGGTTGTTTATTATGTTACCTGCTTATGATATTACCTATTGATTATGTCTGATGTTAGCTGTATGAC